AGGAATCTCCACATGATAAAGTTTTCCCCAATTCCTGTGCAGCACAATGCGGGTTACATTTGTAGTTAACATTTCGAACATTGAGAGCAATATTAAAACGTGTTTCACTTTTATATACCTGTGTCTGTTCTCAACCTCTCAGAAGAAAGAATGGATTCTGGCTTCATCCCGGTATTACTGGAATGTAGGTCTGTGGCTGAGCTGGGCCAGAACGAACGAGCTCTCTCATCCCTATTTTTCCCGGTTCTCGCCCAGGGGTGTCTGGCATTCTATTTGATTTCATTTGAACTTATGATTGCTTTCTGAAGGATGATTTCTGGGATTTCCAGTTCTCTCATTCTGCAGTTTTTAAAATCTCCTCACTTTAAAAGGATCCCATCCAAACCAGAAAAGTTCAACAAATTCTCCATGTTCAAGTATTAGGTAGAAAACCCGAGAAAACCCTCGGCATGCAGATTGCTGCCACGCTGTCCTTCCATACTGGAGTGAGAAGGGGCCCAACTGAGGGACCGGACCGTGATGGGGAGAAGGAGATTTCCTGAGAGCAGGAAATATTTTAACGTGACTTGATTTTCTGCACTAAAATCTTTCATTATAAATAATAAAGCATGACGAGCCACAGGAAGTGTAAGTGGACTGCTTCTGCATCATGGGAGTCGCATTTTTGCAGAAACATTACTGCATTTCAAGAAGGTGCTCAGCTTTATATGCGTTCACTAGCCCTTCAAGTACTTGGCGACAGGATAGCTCAGTCTCGAAAGTTGGAGAGGCAGGTTCATTGCTTTAATAATTTGGGGATTTTTTTTAAATTATTCAGTGAAAAAGTAAAAAGTGATATTTTAGGTACCCTCTCCTCTGTGTGGTATAAATGTTAGCACTCAGGTTAATAATATTACCAACACTGTTCACTGGTTTTTAGCTGAGTCATTTTATCATTCCCAAATGAGATGACTGTCCACTACATGTGTTGTCTTTAACTTTTTTTTTTTTTTTGAAGACATGATACTAAGGAAGAGACATTTAGAAACATTTCAGCAGGCTGCCTCCCTGTCTTCTACCCTAACAATTCCTCTCATTGCCCCCCAGTTTCACCCAAGTTTCACCGCCTGCCAGGGGAGGTTGGAAGTCCTGGAACATTGGCCAAGGCACTGCGAGGAGGCAAGTTTCAGGCCTCTGCTCTCCCTTGCCTTAGTCACCAGCTCCTCTCAGCTCTCAGCACCGGTGCTTCCGAAGGACTCAGCACTGCCCTCAGCTTGGCCCACAGGGGCAGCGATGAAATGAGAGAAAAACTATCCTGTCTGGTGCTTCGCTCTCCTCTACACCATAGGTCATCCTTTCCCACAGCCATGAAAAAGGCAACTTCAACTCATCTCCCCCGTGAAAGTGACGACGGGTATTTCCCAGTTCCGAGGGGAAGACAGGAGAGGCACACTCATCTTTTCTTCCTTTAAAAAGGAAAAAGGAAGCACTTGGGGCCTCCCTAGTTCTGCAAGGGGTTAAGACACACACTATGAAGCTCTCCACAGCTTCTGCAGCACGAGTTCAACCCCCAGCTGGCCAGGGAGCTACCCACATGGCACGGTAGACCTCTCCAGTCTCGCCTGCTGCTCCCCTCAGCATTGTGTTTCAGTCAGTCTGCCTGTTCTGTTCCCTACTCTGTCCCTGGTGAATCCTCTTACCTCCCACATCTCTGACCTGTACCCTGGCTCTTGTATGCATAAATAAATAAATCTTAAAAAAATAAAAATAAAAAGGAAACACTTTGTGGGAGGGGAGAACATTTCCATGGATGGACACTCCTAGAAATCCCAATTGTTTCTTTTTATATCAGTACTCCAAAGAACCCCTGGAAATGATAGCTTTATAGATTGAGCGAATAATGAACAGTGGCTCCAAGAGAGGAGTCCCACGGGTGGTGTTAGCTCACTGTAATGATGGCATCTGACAGCAGCTTTTGTTTAGCATGAAGTTCCCCTGGCAACTGTTTTATTGCAGAACTAGAAATGGTAGAAAAACACTGAGATGTGCATTTTAAAATTTTTAATAGTATTGGTGATTTGTAATTTTGTTTTTCTTTTTGAGTGGTTTCCTTTTTCAAGGTAAACATTTAAAGGTATTAGTCATTAATCTAATATTAATTTATGCAAAGCATATTGGTGATTTGTAGCATGCATGTATTTTTAAGGAGTAAAAAGTATGGGAATATTTGGCTTCCATGACTTTATTCTAATGCACATCCTTCTTCCTTAGGATTTGAGAATTTATAATAAAAATGGTAAAATGTCATATGGTCTTCTGTTCTAATCCCACGTATGACAGTACAGCTGTTTTTCATGGCTCATATGCATATTGCAAATAAAGCTGTGAAGTGCATGTGTCTGAAGGAGGACCCCGTCGTGTCCTTGAACCCGGGACCATGTTGAGAGTCTTTCTGGTCCTTGTGGTGGGATTTCCTTTAGGCTGTTTCTCAGACCCAGCCATCCATGAGATTAAAAGTGCAACATCACACAGCAATTTACATGCATAAAGGGGGGACTAAGAGGAGGGGAGGAAGTAGTCCCAAATTTTTCATCAATTATCTACAGGACTAAAAGTTCAGTCTTTTTAAATTAGTAACAAACAGATGTCCACAGGTTGACTGTGCAATTGATGATGATGATTTTATTTTCTGCTGCTACTTGATGAGATTCGATAGAAAAAAAACTAGAAAAATTGTTCATCTTATTGATTTTTAAATGCCCTTTGATTTGGGGTAGATTGAGAGTATGGGCCAAGTACTGTCAATACTACTTAGATTCGCAGTTAATCGTGTTTTTGGACATTAACCTTTTACTCCCATCAATAATTGATGAAAACAGGGGTGCTCTTTCACCCAGACAGAGATATCAATAGATAAAACATAGATTTAAGCATCCTACATATGGTTTCAAATTTGCATAGTAAAGATTTAGATGTACTTTACATGAGCTGGGCACAGTTCCTTCAGGAAAATATCAGAGTCTCCACAAAAAAGAAGCCATCAATTTGTCAGTGGAAGGAATTGCAGGAAAAAAGGATGTCATTATTTACAAGTGTGAACAAAATGCTAATGATCACGATGGAGCCATCACAGATGCCATGGTCATGTGGAGTTTGATTGGCCAGCAAGGATTAAATTGCACTCAGCTCAGCTGCTTCTAGAACAGTCTACAGGAGCACCACTGTGTTGGTCTGACCTGTGGAGCCCCATGCTTTTCCATTGCCAAGTTAGTCAACTTGGTTCTTTTGGACAGTAACTGATTGAAGATTATTACCTGTGAGTTAATTGGGATAATAAAATGTAGTTTCACAAAATATTTATGTTGTTAACCAAACCCTCAATGACCTAGCTTGTGTTGCTCCTATAAATTGCAATTGCAATTTTAAGGAAATGGAGTATTTAAAATCAAAATAATCACTTGGAAGGTGATATAGTGTAAAAAGCACAAGTGAAGAAAGCTTCACCAAAGAAAGCTTTTTTAAGTCCAATAAACACCCTTTGGCTTCATGTGGCAGTGACTTGACTTCTTTCTGTTGATACAGAGGAGGAATGAAATAAAGGTTTTAATTTGCATCCTTTTGCTGCCGGCACCTTGAGCTCCAAACATGATATTAGTTAGTCACTCCTTTTGGTATTTTATAATGAATTATCAATGCATGTGCACAAGAGATCAAATGTCAGCATTTTTCCAAGAGAAGAGTGTAAAAAGAGCGTGCCGATCTGGAAGATGCCCGAAGGACTATGCAAATTGTGTGACCGGCAATATGGAACTGACATATGCGCAGTACGAGCTCTTCCTCCATCTTCTTAACTGATGATGAATGTAAAAAGGAAGCATAAAAATTAGCATTTTATTGCCACCACCATGTTAGGCAAGCTTTGTCTTTGGGAAAATTAAGCATTGCCAGTCACATTTTTTAATAGTTGGATTATTTTTTCAATGAAATTAAAACCAAAGATGTATGATTATAATTAGATTTTTATATTCAAAAAATATATATGACTCTTTATCTTCTCTGCTTATTAGCAGTTTGGTCCTGGAGAGCCTTTTTCATCATTTAAAATCTATTTCTTTGCTGTGAAACAATTGGGATGATAATTCACTTTTTCTCTTTGTTAAATGTGTGTTAAGTGTTTCCAGTGGGTCACAAATTTTGTTCATCACCAAATATCATGGTGCAACAAAAGATACTCCCCCTACACTGGCAGGGTTCAGCATCTGGGAATCTGTGCAGTGATGGATGAGTTAAGGCTCTTGAAGGTGCAGGGATGTCAGTCATCACATATGCCTTACCTGCATTTGACCACTCAGTGAAGAGATACAGGTAGAGAATCTATGACTGTTAGTGAAACATAAATAAACAAAACAAAGATGACTTTCCTGGGGCGCTAACCTTCTAAGAGAGAAAGACAGACAATAACATAGTATATAAATAAATGATGCCCTGAGATGCAATGTGAAATGTGAGAAGAAAACGTAGATCAGGGACAGAAGAATTAGGTCTGCAGAGGTTAAGGCAGATGACAGCATACTATGGAAAAATTAGGAAAGTTCTCCTGGAGAAGGTGACATTTGAACAAAAATCTAGGAAGAGAGAGAGGGGTTACTTAAAGCATGGCTGAGAGAAGTAGGCTGAGGGAAGTGACCCCCAGAAACAAAGATCACAGGCAAGATCCTTAGGGTATGCCCCATAGCAATCTAGAGGCTGGAATGAGGTGAGTCACAAGCCAGCAATGCAGGCCAAGAGGCAAAGAGGGAAGTTGGAACTGGGTTAGTGGAGAATGGCCAAGTGCGTGACTTTCTCTGAATGGAGGTGGTCACCTACCGACAGACTTTGTGCGAGAGTCAGAAGATTTGATTTGTTTTACCCTTTGCCTTTGTGCTGAGAAGAAATTATAAGGGCAAGAGGAGAAGCAGGGAGACCTGCTAACTCTTTTAATAATCCCAATATTGTTCACTTAGACACTACTTTCTTTCCAGATGAATTTGAGGAAGAACCAAAGCAGACATTCAGATGGCCAAGAGGGACCTGGAAAAAATGCTCCTCATCACGTATCCTCAGGGAAATGCAGATCAAAACCACAGTGAGATACTATCTCACACCTGTGAGAATGGCCTACATCAATTCAGCAAGTGTTGGTGAGGGTGTGGAGGAAAAGGAACCCTCATACATTGTGGGTGGGGATGGAAAACAACATGGAGGTTTCTCAAAACAATAAAAGTAGATCTTCCATACAGTCTAGCAATTCCACTCCTAGGTATCTACCTGAAAAGTGCAAGCACACTCATTTGAAAGGATATATGTTTTTGAAGCCCTATTTACAATAGAAAATTATGGAAAACACCTGGGCATCCTGGGACTGAGGTGTGGACTAGGAACACGTGGTATATTTACCCCAGTGCCTTGGGCTTCTCATTTTCTTAGTTTTGCCTGACCCTTTTTTTCCCTATAGATTCCACATGTAGATGAAATCACCCGGTATTTGTCCTCCTGTTGACTTATTTCACTTAGTGGAATTCCCTCCATGTTGTCACAAGAGGCAAGATTTCATCTTTTTTATAGCTGAGTAGTATTCCGCTGTGTATGTATACAGCATTGTCTCTATCCAATCACCTATCAATGGCCCAGTGATTTTTTTTTTTTAATAGAGGCATGTTTTTCTTTCTTTCTTTATTTGTTTGTTTGTTTTTGTTTATACATGCACTGGGTACAGTCAGAAGCACGGGAGGGTGAGAGAATTCACCAGAGCCAGAGCGGGGAGCAGAGCAGGCAGAAGGACCGAAGTACACTGCTGAGGGAGCAGCGGGCGGCAGGAGAGGTCTGCGCGCCATGCGGGACCCTCCTCCGGTGGCCGGGGAGCAGCCGGGGATCCAACCGGCGGCGCAGAGGCCACGGGCAGCTTCGCAACCCAGCGCTCAACCGCTGTGCCACCGGGGAGGCCCTGGCCCAGTGATTTAAATAGAGGGGATCAAGTTTTCATTTCACAAAGTATAAATACTTTGTGAAAAGAGGGAAGATACCAACTTCTCCTGAGCCTGTTTTTTCCCCTGAACACAGTTAAAAGCTTCTGTTTGATGTAAGCCTCATGCATATTTCAATCTTGGGAGAAACGGGCTCTTGGAATGGTGACAATAAGGCATTTTCTTGTGCTTTTTCAGCCCCAGATATCCAGCAAAAATTCCTCATTATGGGAGTGAGTCCATGCAAACTTGCTATTTGTAACTTTAAAAATGTGAATAAAGCCAACAACAACATTTGAAAAGGATTCACCACAAATTAATAAGATAAGGAGTTGACAGTTATTTGCGAATTTATTAACTCACCACTGGTTAAAAAAAGCACAAGACACTCAACGTTAAGAAAGTGTCCATCATCTTGCTTTCAGATCTGAGATGTGCTCTTCTTGCAGGATGAACATTGATTTCAGAGCTTCTGAAAAGCACTTCTGAGCAGAAGAACACTCCTGGCATTGCTGTGCTCACGGTGAAAGGATCTGCCGATTTTTGTCTTGTAACAAACGTGAAATGTGTTACTTTGCCCTGTTTTTCATACCGATGTCTACTCTCTTCTTTCCTTTGTTCAAACATTCTTCTTAATTGTTTCCCTTCCCTGTGTCTCTGTGTCCCCGCCTTTGACTTAGGGCAGGAGAAAAAGAGATGGATAGAAAAACTGAGTGACAGAGAAGGGCTGATTCAGAAATCAAGTAAAAGTTGAATGAGATGCTTCCTATTCCTATTATTTTCTTGACTGTTACAGCTTTTCTGTCATGACCTTTGGAAATCGTTGTGATTTGATTTCAATGTACTTAAAATGAAAGGGAGGAAATCAGGGGTGCGGTGTTTGTGCATTTGAGTGTTGGCGGGAGGGCAGCAAGCACCTGAAGCTTGGGTGTCTCCTACTCTCTTGTCTCTAGAAGCACCTATGGCTTCAAGCTCTGTCAGGAAGCTGTCTGTTTCAAGGGGGCAGGATTTCCATAAGGCAGTCTGAAAGCCAAAGAGCATTGGTGAGGAAGTGTGGGTAGACATTTCATTTCACACTTGGGGATGCTGTAGCAGTTCAGCTTCTTATTCAAAGTCCATTTGATTGCCAAGGGCCACTTATTCAGCAGCTTCAACAGGGTCCAATTAAGGGAAGGCCTGAGGAAGCCCCAAGGAAAGTAAGGAACAAGCACCTAAGCAGAAGAAAGTTATTTCCTTAGCAAGTTTCAATACTAATCACAATTTAAGTTTGGAAAGAATTTTTACAGGTGGCAATTTTTTGGTAATAATTCTATGAGTGAATTAATGAAATACTAGGGAAATTAATACACACTGTGCAGAGGGAAGCCCTAATATACCTAATCACGCTGCGAAATAAAATGATGACAATGACACCTGGCAAAGAAAAAGTATCCTGACGAGTCATTTACGTTGTTCAAAACTGTTAAAATAGACCTTATGACTTTTCAGTCATTTAAAAATAGAATTAAAAAATACAAGAAATATTTATCATGGAATGGGCATTTCCATATAGTCCTCTGGCCTTTTCATTATAAATGACAAAAAGACACTAAATAATATTGATACCTTGTAAATTACAGTATTTTTTTCACTATAGAATCACTAGGGGGTATTTTAAAGTTTATAATAGCAAAAAATGTGGTGGGTTATTATTAAAATAAACCTTTATTTACATTTTCCTATAAAAATTCAAATTTTAGTATTCCATTGCATTTAAATTTTACCGGATATATTGAAAAAATACAGAAATCAAAAAATTTGTGTAATATACTTTTAAAATAATAGAAAAGATGTTGAGTAAGTTTTCTAGGGGGGTTTGTTTGTTTTTGTTTTCTCTAGTTAGCTTGGTTACCTTTTTAAGATAGTAGATGGCAGAATTAGGTGTATCATCTTTGTATAGAGTGTGACATCCTCTTTTTTTCCCAAAAAGCTTCTTTTAGATATAATTAATGTCATTCAATTCACTACTTTAATTGAAAAATTCTGTGGTCTTAGTACATTCACAAAATCGTGCAACCATCATCTCTGTATCAATCCAGACATCACTGCCACAGATGCCCACACCCATTAGCCATCTATCCTCTCTCCTCTCTCCCCTGACCCCAGCAGCCTTAATATCCTTCTGTGTCTGGATTTACTTTCCTGAGAACTTAAAACAGGGGTTCACCCCACAGCCTGACTTTTCCCAGTGGGAACTGAGGAAAGAAGCTTTCTATCAAATGCCTTGGCATTTCTCTAGACCAATTAGCATCAAGTAGGTGCTCAATTAACACACAGCGGAGACTATACATGCAAATCCTCTGCAGAAACAAAGCAAAGCCACCCACATTTTGAAAATCGAACAAATCTGTATTTGTTCTGTTTAAATGTGCATTTACGTGGATTATGTATCTCCACAGATATCTATGAAATTTGGCTGGTGTGTTTATTATTTATTTATTTATTGTTTCACAAATGACAATAAAAAAAAAAACAAGAAGACAGAAAAGGTACGTTAACTTGCAGAAATTTAAATTTTGTTTTAGCTAGTAAAGGCACATAAGATTTTATTTGAAGGAAAAATTTTAAATCTTTCCCATAAGTCTGGCCCATCCAACATGAGTGAACAAGGCCTGTGCACTCTTTAAATAGTTCATCTTTTGAAGTTATAGAGGGGTGTGTGGGGTGTGTGGTATGTGTGTGTGTGCACGCTCCTAGCTGATTTTAAGCTTTCATTACTGTAATTTTATGAAGGTGTCAGAGAAGTGCCGGACACAGCCCAGAGCATCTCTGATGATTCACTTGTCTGGGAAGCATCGCGAGGTACAACCATGGTCAGGGGTGTCTGGGTACCACCAACCAGACAATTGGCTCCCATGCCCGGAAAAGGCATCCCAGGTGAACGAGTCTCCTCAAGACCTAGACGTTATCATGTAAGTTCCCCATAGAGCTATTGTCTGCATTGTCTGAGAAGGTAGAGTGGGGATGACTGAAATGAAGAATAAATGTTGCTCTAACCCTTGTGGGTGACAAGAAGAAAGACATGATGGACAGAAGGTGCATCTGGAACAGTGAAAGGGAAATCACCTTCGTGTGCAACTTGCATCTTTTGAGATGCCATCAGCACGATGCACTTTGCACACCAGCCGCTGCAGGTTTCCAGGGTATTTGGTTTCTCTGATACCAACCTACCTAGCGTCCCTGCCAGAGCAGAATTATCATTTACAAAGATCAAATGCTTAAAGTATCTCCCCACAAAATACACGTTGAACCATTATTTAGTAAGTTCAACTGTGTTTTTTACATGTTCCTCATAGTGGAGCATCTGATGGACCCATGGAGCTGAGTGATAAATCCTAATCTCCTGGATAACTCAGCACTGGGGGCTCCTGGTCTAAGCCAGGAGAGGAGCATGGGCTGGCCGGAGAGTGTGAGGGATGTGAATTACCCCACAGACTCAAAGCAACAGGTCTGAGCTCTTCAAAAATGACAATTCATTAAAAAAAAGAAACCACAGAATTATTCTAGATGGCAGAGATGAAAGATAAAAGTATACACAAAATCTAATTGTGGATTGTATTCTACACCTTGTAATGATATCTGGGGGGGGGCAATTGACAAAATATAATTGGTTCTGTGGACTAGGTGGCAATATTGGAGTGATATTAATTTACTTGAGTTAAAAGTTGAGCCCCAGTTATATAAGAGAATGTCCTAATTTTTAGAAAATACAGGCTGAGACATTCAGCCAGGAGGAATATCACATCTGCAAGTTACCCATGAGTTATATGCAGCATTGTGTACTATTTTTGAAGTTTTTCTGAAAACTTAAAACCATTTAAAAATAAAACAAGCTATTTCAGATCAGGAGATGTTTGAGAGAAGCAGCAAGTCTGGCTGGATATTTGTGTGTGAAGCTTCATGGGTTTCTTTTCTTTTTTTTTAAGATTTATTTATTTATACAAGAGCTGGGGTACAGGCCAGATGTGCGGGAGGGTGAGGAGATTCACCAGAGACAGAACAGGGGACAGAAGAGGCAGATTGACTGAAACACACTGCTGAGGGGAGCAGTGGGCGTGACAGGAGAGGTCTGCCGCGCTATGTGGGTATCTCCTGGTGGGCGGGGGATCGAACCGTGCTGCAGAGGCTGCAGACAGCTTCACAGTGCTGCGCTCAACCATCTGTGCCACTGGGAGACCCAGGTTTCCTTTCTTTAATCATAATTATTCAGAGTACTTTTCATTTAAACAGTGTTACCAGATCCCTGTAGAAGCAGCACCTGTAATTTCCTAATGTTACTAATTAAAATCAGTTGTAGCTAAAAGCCTAGATTACAATATTTACTGGCTAATACAACCTATAGCAGATTCAGAGTAAGATTGTATTGAACAAGGAACCCCAGGACCATGAAGTGAACACTATGGAGCATAAAAAACCTTTCCCAGCATCCTTCCTAAGAATGATGGTCTCCTGGAAGTATCTTTACTGAGAGAAATCTGACCTCCAGGGGCTGGGTGGGAGGACCATTTTAATCATCGTACTTACAGCATCCGAGGGTGAAATCTGTACAAGGCTTCTCACACCTGCAGTGATCTTTCTCAGGACAGTTCCTTCCTTAATGTGACTCTCTTCTCATCGCTTCTTAAAGAATTAGTGACAATCACTTGGCACTTGCTAAGTTCTCCAGAGTCAGATCCATTCATCCCGTGGCACGCCTCTGATTTTCTATTAGGCAGTCACAGCTTTGCTCATTTCCAGCCAGCACTCAGGAAGAACTGACAAAGGCAAACAGTCAAACATAGAATGACAACTGGAAAATCAAGCTAATTTGGCAAATTTGGGAGATACAGAGCCAAATACAAAAAAATCGAATGAATTATTAGGTACTCTCAGCAATGCCTTCAAATTAAAATAATAAAAGAACCCATAGAGTATTGAAGCAGATATAAGACTTAAGAAAGATTTTTTTTTTTTAATGTCAGGAACCTCACCCTCAAAACTAAATTATATTGCTAATCAAACTCAAGGAAGATCGAAGCAAGCGGAGGGGTAAGCTAATGTTTATGATGGGAAAGCTCAATACTGTTAAGAAGTCAATTCTCTCCCTGACATCTTGGTGATGCAACACAATTCCATACAAAATTTCAAAATATTCCTATGGAGAGTTTGTGGAATGAGGTTACAACATGTATGTAAAGTCAGAGGATCTAGGTTAGTCCAATTTTTCATCAATCTGAACAAAGCTGGTGATGTTCTCCAAACTGACTTACCATCTCCCTTTAAACCTCCCGTAGTGAAGGCTGTTAGAATTAGTATAAAATTAGACAAACAGATCGAGGGAACAGGACAGAGTCCAGAAATAGAAACCTACACATATGCTGTTCATTAATTTTCAAAGACAAATGAAAACAAGGTGAAATGAACAAATGAAAGCAATGGTGTTGCAATCCCTGGAACACAGACAGAAAACAGTGACTCAACCACAGCTTCACAGCGTATATAAAATGGATTTAATACAGAAATCACTTTCATACAATGAAAGTATGCCCATCTCCTGATCTATTACGTATAAAAATATACCTCATTTCAGTTGATTTTAAGTTAAAAGTGAAAAAAATTATTTGAGTTTATAACAAAGTCCAAGAGCTTTATTTCCCTAAAGAGAATCTGTCCTGACGCACTACAGACATAGCCACCTCCCAGCTCACACACAGACTCCATTTTGTATTTATTTGGG